AAATCTCTTTCTGTCTGATGTATACATTGACTGAACACCATTAACACCCATATGTGTCCCAAAAGATAAATGTCTTTCTGTCTGATAGATACATTGACTGAACACCATTAACACCCATATGTGTCCCAAAGATAAATCTCTTTCTGTCTGATGTATACATTGACTGAACACCATTAAACACCCATATGTGTCCCAAAAATAAATCTTTCTGTCTGATGTATACATTGACTGAACACCATTAACACCCATATGTGTCCCATAAATCTCTTTCTGTCTGATGTATACATTGACTGAACACCATTAACACCCATATGTGTCCCAAAAGATAAATGTCTTTCTGTCTGATATATACATTGACTGAACACCATTAACACCCATATGTGTCCCAAAAGATAAATCTCTTTCTGTCTGATATATACATTGACTGAACACCATTAACACCCATATGTGTCCCAAAAGATAAATCTCTTTCTGTCTGATGTATACATTGACTGAACACCATTAACACCCATATGTGTCCCAAAGATAAATCTTTTCTGTCTGATATATACATTGACTGAACACCATTAACACCCATATGTGTCCCAAAAGATAAATCTTTTCTGTCTGATGTATACATTGACTGAACACCATTAACACCCATATGTGTCCCAAAAGATAAATCTCTTTCTGTCTGATATATACATTGACTGAACACCATTAACACCCATATGTGTCCCAAAAAGATAAATGTCTTTCTGTCTGATATATACATTGACTGAACATCATTAACACCCATATGTGTCCCAAAGATAAATGTCTTTCTGTCTGATATATACATTGACTGAACACCATTAACACCCATATGTGTCCCAAAAGATAAATCTCTTTCTGTCTGATGTATACATTGACTGAACACCATTAACACCCATATGTGTCCCCAAAAGATAAATCTCTTTCTGTCTGATATATACATTGACTGAACACCATTAAAACCCATATGTGTCCTAAAGATAAATGTCTTTCTTTCTGATATATACATTGACTGAACATCATTAACACCCATATGTGTCCCAAAAGATAAATGTCTTTCCGTCTGATGTATACATTGACTGAACACCATTAAAAACCATATCCCTCCCTAAAGATAGGTGTCTTTCTCTATGATATATACATTGACTGAACATCATTAACACCCATATGTGTCCCAAAAGATAAATGTCTTTCTGTCTGATATATACATTGACTGAACACCTTAAACACCCATATGTGTCCAATAAATCACTTTCTGTCTGATGTATACATTGACTGAACACCATTAACACCCATATGTGTCCCATAAATCTCTTTCTGTCTGATGTATACATTGACTGAACACCATTAAAAAACATATCCCTCCCTAAAGATAGGTGTCTTTCTCTATGATAGATACATTGACTGAACATCATTAACACCCATATGTGTCCTAATAGATAAATCTCTTTCTGTCTGATGTATACATTGACTGAACACCATTAAAATCCAATTTCGTCCCAAAAGATAAAGCCCATTCTGCCTGATATATACATTGACTGAACACCATTAACACCCATATGTACCCGAAAAGATAAATGTCTTTCTGTCTGATATATACATTGACTGAGAACCCTTAAAAACCCATAGACTCCCAAAAAATAAATCTTTATCTGTCTGATATATACATTGACTGAACACCATTAACACCCATATGTGCCCGAAAAGATAAATGTCTTTCTGTCTGATATATACATTGACTGAACACCATTAAAACCCATATGTGTCCCAAAAGATAAATCTCTTTCTGTCTGATATATACATTGACTGAACACCATTAACACCCATATGTGTCCCAAAAGATAAATCTCTTTCTGTCTGGTGTATACATTGACTGAACACCATTAAAAACCATATCCCTCCCTAAAGATAGGTGTCTTTCTCTATGATATATACATTGACTGAACATCATTAACACCCAAAAGATAAATGTTTCCCTGAAAGATAAATGTCTTTCTCCCATAAATCTGATGATATATACATTGACTGAACACCATTAACACCCATATGTGTCCCATAAATAAATCTTTTTCTGTCTGATGTATACATTGACTGAACACCATTAACACCCATATGTGTCCCATAAATAAATCTCTTTCTGTCTGATGTATACATTGACTGAACACCATTAACACCCATATGTGTCCCAAAGATAAATCTCTTTCTGTCTGATGTATACATTGACTGAACACCATTAACACCCATATGTCCTCCCAAAGATAAATGTCTTTCTGTCTGATATATACATTGACTGAACATCATTAACACCCATATGTGTCCCAAAAGATAAATGTCTTTCTGTCTGATATATACATTGACTGAACATCATTAACACCCATATGTGTCCCAAAGATAAATGTCTTTCTGTCTGATATATACATTGACTGAACACCATTAAAAACCCATAGACTCCCAAAAGATAAATCTTTTTCTGTCTGATATATACATTGACTGAACACCATTAACACCCATATGTGTCCCAAAAGATAAATCTCTTTCTGTCTGGTGTATACATTGACTGAACACCATTAAAAACCATATCCCTCCCTAAAGATAGGTGTCTTTCTCTATGATATATACATTGACTGAACATCATTAACACCCACATGTGTCCCAAAAGATAAATGTCTTTGTTTCTGATATATACATTGACTGAACATCATTAACACCCATATGTTTCCCATAAATCGTTTTTTGTTTGATGTATACATTGACTGAACATCATTAACACCCATATGTGTCCCATAAATCTTTTTCTGTCTGATGTATACATTGACTGAACACCATTAACACCCATATGTGCCCGAAAAGATAAATGTCTTTCTGTCTGATATATACATTGACTGACCATCATTAAAAGCCCATGGACTCCCAAAAGATAAATCTCTTTCTGTCTGATATATACATTAAATGAACCCCTTTTCACCTATATGTTTCCCAAAAGATAAATCTCTTTCTTTCTGACGTATACATTGACTGAACACCATTAACACCCATATGTGCCCGAAAAGATAAATGTCTTTCTGTCTGATATATACATTGACTGAACACCATTAAAAACCCATAGACTCCCAAAAGATAAATCTTTTTCTGTCTGATATATACATTGACTGAACACCATTAACACCCATATGTGTCCCAAAAGATAAATCTCTTTCTGTCTGATATATACATTGACTGAACACCATTAAAACCCATATCCCTCCCTAAAGATAAGTGTCTTTCTCTATGATATATACATTGACTGAACATCATTAACACCCATATGTGTCCCAAAAGATAAATGTCTTTCTGTCTGATATATACATTGACTGAACACCTTAAACACCCATATGTGTCCCATAAATCACTTTCTGTCTGATGTATACATTGACTGAACACCATTAACACCCATATGTGTCCCATAAATCTCTTTCTGTCTGATGTATACATTGACTGAACACCATTAACACCCATATGTGTCCCAAAAGATAAATCTCTTTCCGTCTGATGTATACATGGACTGAACACCATTAAAAACCATATCCCTCCCTAAAGATAGGTGTCTTTCTCTATGATATATACATTGACTGAACATCATTAACACCCATATGTGTCCCAAAAGATAAATGTCTTTCTGTCTGATGTATACATGGACTGAACACCATTAAAAACCATATCCCTCCCTAAAGATAGGTGTCTTTCTCTATGACAGATACATTGACTGAACATCATTAACAACCATATATGTCCCATGAGATAAATCTCTTTCTGTCTGATGTATACAGTGACTGAACACCATTAAAATCCAATTTCGTCCCGAAAGATAAAGCCAATTCTGCCTGATATATACATTGACTGAACACCATTAACACCCATATGTGCCCGAAAAGTTAAATGTCTTTCTGCCTGATAGATACATTGACTGAACACCATTAACACCCATATGTGCCCGAAAAGATAAATCTTTATCTGTCTGATATATACATTGACTGAACATCATTAACACCCACATGTGTCCCTTCAATCTCTTTCTGTCTGATGTATACATTGACTGAACAGCATTAACACCCATATGTGTCCCAAGAGATAAATGTCTTTCTGTCTGATAGATACATTGACTGAACACCATTAACACCCATATGTGTGCCATAAATCTCTTTCTGTCTGATATATACATTGACTGAACACCATTAACACCCATATGTGTCCCCAAAGATAAATCTCTTTCTACATGATATATACATTGACTGAACCCCATTAACACCCATATGTGTCCTAAATGATAAATCTCTTTCTGTCTGATGTATACATTGACTGAACACCATTAAAACCCATATTCGTCCCAAAGATAAATCTCTTTCCGTCTGATGGATACATTGACTGAACAGCATTAACACCCATATGTGTCCCAAAAGATAAATGTCTTTCTGTCTGATAGATACATTGACTGAACACCATAAACACCCATATGTGTCCCATAAATCTCTTTCTGTCTGATGTATGTACATTGTCTGAACGCCATTAACACCCATATGTGTCCCCAAAGATAAATCTCTTTCTGCATGATATATACATTGACTGAACCCCATTAACACCCATATGTGTCCTAAATGATAAATCTCTTTCTGTCTGATGTATACATTGACTGAACACCATTAACACCCATATGTGTCCCAAAAGATAAATGTCTTTCTGTCTGATGTATACATTGACTGAACACCATTAAAACCCATATCCCTCCCTAAAGATAAGTGTCTTTCTCTATGATATATACATTGACTGAACATCATTAACACCCATATGTGTCCCAAAAGATAAATGTCTTTCTGTCTGATATATACATTGACTGAACACCATTAACACCTATGTGTGTCCCATAAATCTCTTTCTGTCTGATATATACATTGACTGAACACCATTAACACTCATATGTGGCCCACTATGTAGACGCTCTATTTATCTTGAAGTGGGATATGCAACCGCAAGTGATGAAAGGCCCAATATAGTCTGGCAGTGGCAAGATGACAAAGCGAAATGGCACCTGTACAGTGACTCACATCGGGACAAACTGGAGAAGGAGTTCACCAGGAAGCCCTCGGGGTCATGTGTCCTTCAGATGGAGAGAAGGAGGTAAGTGCATGCATCTATAAAGTTGTTTTCAGATTTAGTTTGGCTGTGAATAAACATGGATGCCTTCTTGATCAAGTTATATGTTAACAGTTATAAGATTTCCCCTCAACATTATGTTGTTGTTACCCCTGCAGAATACCCCTTGAGTAAACGTAAACATTGTTCACGCATGACGCATGGAATTGTAGAGATATGTGCACGGGTTAGACCCAAAATTGTTAAAGTTACACCAAAGCTAGGCATCTTCCTCTATTTATCATTAGAACATATATGTAAATAATGCAGCATTTTTTGACTTTCTTCTGTTCGTTAAAATCCACTTCTTTTGCATTCCAGGTAATGCTACAAATGATCTTATTCTAAATACGTTCATGTAATTTCCGACCCGGATGGTGGGGTAGCCTAGTGGTTAAAGCGTTTGCTCGTCACGCCGAAGACCCGGGTTCGATTCCCCACATGGGTACAATGTGTGAAGCCCATTTCTGGTGTCCCCCGCCGTGATATTGCTGGAATACGGCTAAAGATGGCGTAAAACCAACCTCACGAACTCACTCTGCTTGGTTACAGCGTTCGTGTCCTCTTTAAACATCCCATGATTGCGAAAGAAGTTGGAGGTGGATCTAGTTGTGCAGTCACACGATCAGGTTAAACATCCTTTAGCTATGAGTTAACGTTTATATGTTTAACGTCAAGGTAAAGCCTACAGGACGTTTTATCTTTACGTCACTCACAAGTATTCCAAAACTATTGTCTTCTGATATCAACATATTGTATGAACATGTATGTGTTTAAGCATTCGTATCTGACGTTCTTTGTTCATTATTGTTGCAGCTGTAAGTCACGCTGAACTTCGTGAGCTGAAAGGAGAATAAATAGTGAACAAGGTTTCATTGGTATCTTTTGCCATTCTGCCAGATTCCCTATGCTCCACAAAGAACAAAGTGCCTTTTGAGACTGCGATCAAAATGCACATTTCACTTGCAAATGTACATTGTATTTATATGCAAGCGCTCATTTATCAAATCAGTAGCTTTATATATATTTGCATTTTGGAAAAAATATTGTATTGTACATGTTGTCTTATACCAGTGTGATTATGTCTATAATACAAGTTTTGGATGATAAATATGATATGGAAAATATTACTTATGTGATAAATTGTTCATTGCTGAACAAGTCTCTTGTAAACTTCATTTATTAAAATGACCAAATGTCTCCATATGTCTCCAACCAAAGTGCATCCCTCTTAATGCATTGAGCAAACATACGATGCACCACCTCTTATCACCCCCAACACCCCAGCGGGATAATAACCGTTATCTATAAATTCAATTAAAAGTCCAACGGAGGTGGATCTTACGTATGTACATGAGCACGTGTCGGTAACCTCGCTCCACACGGAGTAATGTCTGTATCCATAACGATTGCTGACACGCACAGTCGGAGAGATCATTGACTGAGCGAACGGATTGCACGACTTCTCGTGGTGTCAGTCAAGGCTGTCCCATTCTGCATGAGTGTGACAGTGACAGTGCTGGTCACTCGGTCCCGGTGTACGTTCTATTTATCATCAACTGGTAGGATTTCAACCACTATTCCCCAACAATTAGAAACATCCAGATCTACCACTCAAAAATATCCCCCCTACCGCCCCCCCCCCCCTCGACAAGATCATCAGGAAAGTAAAATTTATACGGTGACCAACATTTGAATTCAGATCTCATGCTTTGTATTGTACTATGATATAACTGAATACAATAAACAAGTTAAATTCAGATATCATGATGACTTGGCCTAATTTTGATATATAGTACTCAAGCGCATGCAAATGCAGGTAAATGCAAGTAGATGTGTAAAGTTCAACTTCAAACGATGGCACAAACCACAGTATATGAAGGTACAACCACAAGGTCACACATTGTTGACCATCTCAGGTCTGGTAATGAAACACGTCCACAATGTGACGTTATGCACACTGCAGTTGAACGCCAACTAGATCAGGGGTTGAGTTGGTACTCTCTTGTTACATATGTGTTCGAAAACATAGCGACAGCTCAGGAACAAGTTGCAAGGACACATTTACAGAACTGATTTCTGAAGGATGTTCCATGTTGATCATGGTGGCCATTCCTTTGTGTCTATTTGTGGCACAACGTTCAGTCTAACATTTCCCCATTACGCTGATCTGTTGTTTAACTGATAAGAACGTTGCCTTATCGACGTATACAACAGAGGTTGCACTGATCAAAGAAGAATGACACGACTGATCTATATTTTACAATACTAGGTAGCACAGGCTGGGGAAGGAAATTGTGTTTTCGTGTCTTGTTATTAATAAAAACGACTTTCGTCTGTTATGAATACACAATGCTTTTCGAAAAGTGGTTAAATAAACATTTGTTTTATTTGAAATTCCAGAGTACTTCGTAAAGTACAAATTATAGTACTTTGAGAGCTTAATCCAATCCGGGACGAATCCCCACTCTCAGAGAAAAACAGCCCGAACCATTCCAGATGGAAGTCTGACAACTGATAGTTTAGGTCATGTACTCAATGTACCCTTCTGAAAGCAACTGATAGCTATGAGTGCATAGTGTCTTTTAGACAGTGATCAGATGTAAGAGATGTTATATTCTACTGTAATCCCTACTAGCATACATGTTCCACGAGGAGAGTTATGTGTATAATCACACAATATCACAGCGTTATGCCTTTTTAATATAATGTGCGTGCGATTTGACGTGCCAAACTCGGAGGATCATGCACTCATAATTGTAGGATCAATGTTGCCTGTACACATCATGTGTGAAAGCTATAGACAGGGACACTGATCGTATGAATACACAACAGACCGAGAGTCGATGTGACGACACATTCAGTTGCAGTTCAACCCTCCGTTACCCTCCGAGTAACAGCGATATGCAGTTATAAATAATTATTAACGCTAAATAGCCCTAACGGGAACATTCCCTAGAGAATACAGTCAACACGATACAACAGCACGTGTTTCTCATCTGCCATTAACGTTTGCGGAATAATGTATGACTACACAGATATGCTCCTATACCTAGACGTATAACACAACTACTCAGGTAATACAGTCAACACGATACAACAGCACGTGTTTCTCATCTGCCATTAACGTTGACGGACTAAAGTATGACTACACAGATATGTTCCTATACCTAGACGTATAACACAACTACTCAGGTAATACAGTCAACACGATACAACAGCACGTGTTTCTCATCTGCCATTTAACGACGGACTAAAGTTGACTACACAGATATATACCTGACGTATGACAACTACTCAGGTAATACAGTCATATGTCTTCCTATAACCGGAATAATGTATGACGACACAGATATGTTCCTATACCTAGACGTATAACACAACTATTCAGGTAAAGTAAAAGTTGATGTAAAATGGTCGTAATTAATAAGCAGTTCTTTTAGTTAATGTTGTGAATGTAGAAATCTGAGGACAGTAGTTAATTCAGTTATTTTTAGTTAAACCTCCCATGTTGAATTGATTTATGCTACCTGATATCTAAATAATATGTACGTATGATTAATTCAGTAATTTGGTTGAATCCAGGGAGCGAAACATCCCATGCATTATTGAGTCTGGGTGTACAGCTCCTTTACCAACATGCTACTAACCAACAATGCCTGTAGGGTTCACAAACAGTACCGATATGGGGAAATGTACACTGGTTCCTATGGTGACGAGCCATGGGGTAAGTAATCATACGAATTATGGGCATGGTATTATAATAAAATGAGCCATATGTAAGACTATCATAGTGCGTTATTCAAGTACAATTCCTTTGTTAGTGAGTGAGTATGTCAGTTTAGTTTTACGCCGCACTCAGCAATATTCCTGCTGTATGTAAGTAATCGAATCTGGACCAGACAATCCGGTGATCATCATGAGCATGGATGTTCGCAACTGGGAACCGATGACATGTGTCAACCCTTAGGTAGCGGTATATGATATACAATATTACAATACGACTTTAACATGACAAAACTATGAATTTGTTGTTTCAAATCCTATTTCTACCTACGTTGATTTGTATAGCTCCAATTCAGATATGTGCCTCGGATACAATTTAACGTTCCTGAGGTGTATGTAATCTAACACAACCATGCTATCCTAGTCTGTCTCCTAGTCCCTGAACCGTATTATTTTTGCTACTGCCTTGCCCTCCTGCAATGCAATGAAGCAAGTCTAGACTTCCCCAGGTTCAGTTTCTGAATCTCTGGTCTCCCTGGGGCTCCTTTTCAATTTAAAGGGGTTTATTTGTTACAATCAATCAATCAATATATATCCAGCCCGTCCCTCTCTATACAGAGACTAAGTGTTAGTCTAATGCTATCCCAGTAGTCGCTCTGTACATGTATGCACTGTGCAAGTGAACCCGGAAGGTTGACACGGTGGATCTATTTTGGGATGACCTGGTAAAACCATGAATACGGCGATATTCTCTTTTGAAACTGATGTCTATTCCTCAGGTAAATCATGTACTGTACTGTTTCATGTTAAGTTGAAATGTTAATGTAGTGGATGATTATTGTATCCTTGTTATCGACTAACTCTGTTAGTGGTATTTACTGTTGCAGTGTGTGTTATTTTCTTACTTTCATTTTGTGAAGTGACCATCAGGCTGATATATTAGGACATATATCTTATCAGATAAGGATATCACCACACAAATATTATCCTACGTTGCACAACTGAGCTATGATTATGTCTCCAGGCAATGATGGTGTAAAGAGGACACATAACAGAATCAATATTAACACAGCTGTTATATACTAGGGTTCACTGCCATTAATGTTGTTGCATGTACATGATGTGTTTGTGTGATGCATACTATATCTTGGTTTTTTTAATTTCAATAATGAGACAACTACGCAACATTCAATATGTTCTCTTGTCAGGATATATCAATATGATGTCACTTTCTCCCTGGATCGAATAATGAAGGAGATGTAAAACATTTGAAATAGAAATAAGATCTACTAAATGTTTACATGTACCTACAGGTGGGCAGATTATAAAAAGAAGATAAAGTTTGATGAACAGTCACTATGGATGGCCTCTTGGAGGAGCGGTTCCGTTGTATTGACACTGAAATATCAAATCAAAACCGGTACTTGCAACAGCAGTTTGAAAAGCAGAAACGACAAAATGATGACATTCGACAGGTAGTGTCTCAGATTGAGAAAAGCCTGGGCACACCAGCCACGGAAGACTTAATCAAGCTTACTGCTGAGGCAACAGATGGAACTGATCGAGACAAACGAACGGTTGACGAATCAGTCTGCCTTGAATCTGCCGACAAACAGAATCCTCTTACCGACGCAGGTGAAACACACAAGAATACAGAATTCAAAATGAAGACGTTAAGCTATTCTAAACACCAAGAGACAAGTTGGATCACTTCCCCGGAGTCCCCTATATCAACTGCATCAGAGGGCAAGGCACAGTTGGGCATGCATGAAAGAGATGTCACCTCCAGTCAGAGTTATGGTAAAAAGGACTCAAAACCCATGCTAACCACTATGGGAACAAAGCCGGCGCATATTGAAAACAAAGAATCGGAAGTATTCGGGGAAAAGGAGCCAGTGGTAGGGCACGAGTCTGAAACTGTTCATAACAGAAAAGGACATAGTAATGAACAGATCAAAAACATCCCCAATGAACAAATAACTGCCACCATACAGGGTTCATTACCCAAAGCTAGGGAAGTTTCATCTAGAAAAGAGGAGCTGAAAAGCAGCGCCACAAACATTTGGGGAGTAAAGAAAAACAAACCTGACAGGTGGAATAGTGTTGATCCCACTACACACTCTAACAATACATTCACTAATAGTATGGAACAATTTGGAGCAGTCTCCCAATTCGAGGACTATGGGACTGACTACATAGAAACATGTACATCACCATCGTGTACCAAAATCTCCGACCTGTCTTCTGTGACTGTATTTTCCAACAATGATGACCAATCTGACTATGACGTGGATATGTATCTATCATATCCAAGTGGCATGGGGAATGCGCGGCTTGAATACACCTACTTGGTTAACCAGTTGTTATGCTCTCACAACTGTCACGTGCTGAACGTACGAGAAACACGTTATACACTGACTAGTCCCAATGGACTGCAGAAGAAATGGTCAAGGATAGATAAGTACCGACCTGGCCAGAAACCTCCTGACTTTATGAAAGATTTACCTTTTGCACTCGTACCATTAACCCGGCCAATGAGCGTAGGCGCGAAGCAACTCCCTACTCGGAGCCCACACGAACTGAAAGAACTTGTACAAAGGTACGATTTATAAAACTTACATTTAAATACCATTTGCCTTTAAGCGTCTCACACATTATTCATACAGTAATTAATGTATTCATGTTATGTATGTTTAAGATCAAAAGTTGTGGTATCTAAAGACGATTCCATTGGTTCCCCCGAGGGGCATCTGATGCACACTTTGTATCAAATGAAGGAGATCGTCGGTGAGGATGCAGATCTGTGGAAGCCTGTTGAAGAGGCTCTCAAGAAAGGTCAGAATAAATCTATGTTTGTATCTTTATTTGTCCTATGTCTGTGAATGATGCGCATATGTATTGTTTATATACTTTACATTTAAGGAGTTGTGTTTCAGAAGTGACACCAGTCGCAAGATGTGATATCGGTGTTGATACAATTTTGTGTCTCGACAACTCTGGTACAATGCCAAGACAGGCTTACATTCAGATGAAGAAATTGGCAATTGACTTTATCAATGGTACGTGTTTGCAAGTACAAGTTCCTCATTAGTGTCCCTTTACAAATCACTAACACATGTTTTTGGAAATAAGAATACAGAAACACCATACATTCATCTTTTATCATTTCTATCATGTGATATATTTTTAGGTATCGAAGATGTTGCAGAAATGCATGATCTTGAAGAAAATATAGGAGTGGTCACTCTTGGTTCCAGGGCAACTGTGCTTCATCATTTATCCAATGATTATGGAAGTCTGAGGGAAATCCTCGGTAAGACACGACATATGTAACAACTGAATGTAATGAATTCAATGAATGGCTGGTTTAAGAAAGTTTGTAAAACATTTCTTTATGTGACGATTTTCAACACTGATAGCTTGGCCATGGAGTATAATGTGTTACAGTGCGCGCCTCATGTTTTCAGATCAACTAGAATGCGGGGGTGTTCCAACTGACCACTGTATTCAACTCCAAGGACTGTTGGTGTGTCTTGCAGCCATGACAAAAGGTTAATATTGAAGAGAGAGAGAGAGAGAGAGAGAGAGAGAGAGAGAGAGAGAGAGAGAGAGAGAGAGAGAGAGAGAGAGAGAGAGAGAGAGAGAGAGAGAGAGAGAGAGAGAGAGAGAGAGAGAGAGAGAGAGAGAGAGAGAGAGAGAGAGAGAATTTACATTTTGCTTTCCTTCATTTACCATAATGATTTATTAATAAAGGTTATCATCACACTTCCAGGTGGAGTTTGTAACTTTGGTGGGAGGACAACTGTGCCCCCTCGACTTATCCTCATAACAGACGGACTGACAATTGGGAAAGTGGATCAAGTGGACAAAAGTCATGTAAGAAAAAAACTATATTTTTTATCTGTCATATCCTATGAGGATACAAAATATTGCATTCTAAGATCTACATGTATATTTGAATCTATAAAGCAGGTCTAAAGGTGTTGATTACTGATTATCAACCAAATTGCCATTCCTAATAATTCGCCAAATTCCTTTTCTGAGCACATCAACCTATTTAGGAATGATTTCTTCAAATAACATGTCTACTTGCGTCCCACGTTATTAGACTTGGTTTACATCATTCGTTTGTCACCAGAAGGTGGAACTATTTTATACTGCTCTGGACCACATGGGAGCTGCGTTTGTAAGGAACAATGTAGTGGGCCCAATTCAGGTTGTTCCTTACGGAGAAGCAAAACAGGTTGGTACTGAGATTGAACAATAATAAGTGACGTATATTTCTTGACTGATATCAGTTGGTAACCATTCTAACAACAACAGTCCTCTGTTTTACCTCCTTATTTATACATGAACAATCATAAGCTACAAATAGTGATAACAGTAACCTTTTTCATATATTCTGAATAGGAAATGGGAAGTACATGTACTTCAATACTGAATGACCCAAACGTGATCTGGCATTATTATACAATAGTTGTTTTAAACTTAAATATATTGCTTTTTTGTACTGTTGATTTTACGATATCTTATTTGTCAGGCCTTCATAGGTAGGCTTTTGAAAAGGTGCCATGGGAACCTGACTAGCATAACAGAGGCTTGCAAACAACACTGGCTTCAGGTTTGTATACTGATCTTTTTAAGTTTGTGTGTTCCCTTTCATATACTAACTTGGTGTGCATGGCTTGGTTGCCTATGTCAACGGAAGCATATTTGATGACACAGAAAGTCTAATGCAGCATTCAGTTCCAGGAATGTTCTCATTTATCTAACATTTCTGTTTCAGAAACGCAGCACTCAGATCCTTGATTTTATGATTAAAGGAAAGGATGGAAAGGAAGCTGAGATGCTAGATGTAGATACAGTTGTTGCAGCCGTTTGTTCTGGATACAGTCACCAAGAACGCGTAATTCGTTCTTTCTCGTAACTCATTTGTCATATACGTTCTTCCTGGGGGATCTGTTGACATTTCACGAGTCACTTTTCACGAAGATATAGAAGCAACAGATTAATAATCGGCTATTAGTGGATTTACTTTTCTGCCTGGTGTATAAACAAGTACGTGTCTTACATTTTGTCAAAATTAACATGTCAGTACTTTCACATGGTTGATATTTATTTATTTTTCAGAAACAGATTTCCAAAATTGTCAGAGACAGGCTGAATGAGGTGGATAGATGGTTAGGACTTACAGACGAGTTTGACAACGTCTCTATCAAGGCAGGCCTTCCTGATCTTGGAACAAGGGTGGTTCGTGGACCTGACTGGCGATGGGGCGACCAGGACGATGGGGGCGCAGGGACTGTTATCAATCATGGAGAAGACGGAGGTCCGAGACATATTCCTTCATCAGACCAAGACTGATAAAAAAGTTCATAATTAGCATTGTAGAAACAATTATTATATCATTTCCTTATGTGAAGAAATTTTAGATCATGCGCTATTAATATACAGATTATTCCATAGTGGTCTCTTCTTTACCAAGTTGATGTTTACAGAGTCTCTGTGGTTGTCTTGGGACAACGGCTTCACGAACGTGTACAGATACGGTGTCAGCGGCAACTATGATGCTCTCATCGTAGATGACCAACCTCGCATGGTAAATCAGGAGGGCGCCATAGACATCGGGATGCAGGTGGAACGAGGTATATTGTAGTGTGTTCGACATAACATATACATGCGAATAGACAATGAAAGTGTCTACATTATAACACTTGGATGTCACGTTTGAAATTGGACGTTGTTAGCAAAGTATAAATTAAAGTATGTTTTGGGTGGATTACCACCCAGAATTCAATCGCATATTCTCAGAGTAATGCTCCCAATCACCAGGGCAAAAAGCATTGGGTAGGAAAGTGGTCAATGTGACACATATATGTTGAGAATAGTTTTGTTATGTTGTTAGTTATATTACATCTTACTTTATGGTTCTATGTAATATCCAGCTATGAGATAATGTATTATAAGCAACAAACCGTTTTCACAATCTTACAATTTATTACCAATATAACTGAAGTAAAAATTTCAAATACTGACTGGGATTTATACACTTTCAGGACCAAACTGGCCAGATACTTCAGGACAAAATGACAGCCTTGGATTGTATGGAACAGTCATACGTAAAAGGAATGGTAGAGTCCTGGTATGTTTCTAAATATACTCCGACAAGCATGACCGTTAAAAACGAATATATATTAACACACTATTTATACAAAATATATTATTTTACGTATATGGGTTCTATTTCAGGTTATATGGAACAATTCTACAATTCGAGTACACAGCTTTGGTGAAGGTGGGAAATATGAAGTAGCCACCCGGTGAGACATTTAACATCAATCAAACTGTCTACTGACGAGCTGTCTACTGACGAGCTGTCTACTGACGAGCTGTGTACTGACGACTGACTGCTGTCTACTGACGACGAGCTGACGAGCTGTCTGTACTGACGAGCTGTCTACTGACGAGCTGTGTACTGACGAGCTGTCTACTGACGAGCTGTCTGACGAGCTGTCTACTGACTGACGAGCTGTGTACTGACGAGCTGTGTACTGACGAGCTGTCTACTGACGACGACTGACTGTCTACTGACGAGCTGTCTACTGACGAGCTGTCTACTGACGAGCTGTCTACTGACGAGCTGTCTACTGACGAGCTGTCTACTGACGAGCTGTCTACTGACGAGCTGTGTACTGACGAGCTGTCTACTGACGAGCTGTCTGCTGACGAGCTGTCTACTGACGAGCTGTGTACTGACGAGCTGTGTACTGACGAGCTGTGTACTGACGAGCTGTCTGACGAGCTGTCTACTGACGAGCTGTCTACTGACGAGCTGTCTACTGACGAGCTGTCTACTGACGAGCTGTGTACTGACGAGCTGTGTACTGACGAGCTGTGTACTGACGAGCTGTGTACTGACGAGCTGTGTACTGACGAGCTGTGTACTGACGAGCTGTCTACTGACGAGCTGTCTACTGACGAGCTGTCTACTGACGAGCTGTGTACTGACGAGCTGTCTACTGTGTCTACTGACGACTGACGAGCTGTGTACTGACGAGCTGTGTACTGACGAGCTGTCTACTGACGAGCTGTGTACTGACGAGCTGTCTACTGACGAGAGCTGTCTACTGCATTTATCATTTCCAACTTATCACAGAAACAGATACCTTTACATTTTCATTATCATGTAATATATTGCGTTAGGAACAACTGTTTACCTTTCCTAGATATAGAAGTAAAGTAGAACGAAACGCGTTGCTTAGGACAGGATCAATTTAAATACTGCTGATTTGTCTTTTAAATAGAGAAAGGATTTTCGGCATGTTCCTGCCACAGTTAAACTATCATAAACTGAGCTTTGTGTTTTGTATATTTAAGTGATCCCCTTAAATGTATTCGGGAGCATATGCCACGTGTGGACACTGACAAGGACCATTGGCAAGTAGGAGCAGAGGAATCAGCTAGCAAACACCCCAAAGATGAACCAGCTGCAGACGAAGTGGGTGATTCCAGCGTGTGGCAATGGCTTGGCAAAGACAACCAATGGCGTTCATATTCAGAGTCGAACAACAAGAAATTAAGAGCATCTTACAAGAAAAGACCTGGTGGGTCATGTCTCATACAAAGAGATGGAACGAGGTAGGTGCTGTTTTGTTACTTGTCTGTTACCACCGCCATGGCTACATCACGATTGTTATTATTTATTACACCTATCTACAGGTAATTTAGTGTTACTGTTCACACATTCTACAAATACCAGTATTATGTACAAGATTTATGGCATGAGACTATTTTGTTTTGTCTGGTCCACGGTTTTAGCGATTTTATATACTTTCAGTTTCAGGGTTATATTTAAGTCATTTGTTGAAAAATCAATTGAAGATGGCTCAACTACGGATGTGAGAAAACTTGATGGTATGTACTCAGCAACAAACATCATTCGTACACATATCAGCATGTGGTTAGGTTTTGAGTATTGAGTAACCCTTTAGATAAATGAGAAGAATTTTCACTGATAAAACAGCATCAAAATCCATGAATTTGACTGATAAATAGCCCATGCATATGGAACCATTCACGGGTCCTACGAAGTACTCCATGTCCTAACTGTAATTTTATGAGAATCTTGACAGTTTGCGACCTTTGATTTTGAAATCCAACCACCTTAGACAATTCAACTATAATTATCAGAAAAAGTTATTTAAGCAATGTTTTGAAAATATTCTGTTTTTTTATCTAGGAAATTGAAACATTTATCATCCAAAACTGTGTTCCACAGGAGATATCGCTTGTGTGAGATCAAACGATATCTCCTAGGAGATATCGTTTTGACAGTAGATTTTGTACAATGCCCTGAACATGCTATGACGTCATGTACTTGCTGACGTCACAATGCTATGACATCGCTGCACTGCAAGTCTAATGGCAGTACCATGTTCAGAGATGTACATTTTTCATTGAAAATTAATGAAGAGTGATTTTGGATGATAAATAGAATCTCACCCTCGTGTCTTCTGATATCAAATATATCAACACTCGTTGATAAAGTAAAAATATCCTCGGCAAGCCTCGGATATTTGTAACTTTATTAACTCGTGTTGATATAATTGATATCAGAAGACACTTGGTTGAGATTCTCTATATACCGGACCTAAAGCTATATCCTACATGAGGGTATTATTCAAAGTAACCAACTTAAAGCATAGTTTTTTAAACCTACAAGAGTTATGCCCCTTCGAATATCAATCGATACTGTTCAATCATGGTGATATGCTTTGCGCCCAATACTGTAGCAGAAATAGAAACTGAACGTTACCTGAAAGAAATACAAAGGGTTATGAATTTCTAATGACTCGGCCACGGTGCGACCAGTTTGGAATTTTACGGATTCAAACGGGCTGAACTAACCCATACTACCTGTCAAATAGCCGTGCAGGTAGTACTAACCCACTGTAAGCCATTTAAAGTGAAATAACATTGTGTAAATCTTTACATCTTTTTCGCGTCTTGTGAGTGATATATTCACTGCTTGTTATATTTTCCAGTTGAAGTTTCTCAGATGTCAGAACGAGTGCTGTGATGGACTTGCGACAGTCAATTGACGACAATCTTATATTCACTTCATTAAGAAGGACATGTTCATGCCCTCCAACAGAGACCCACCCAACACCACCTACTTTCTACCCGTCTGCTGTAACGGGATGCTTCCACGGAGATTGTTGCTGGTGTATTGTGCTGACGGCCATGACCTTCGATTGTACCAACACGGTGACTCACTCGCGCACGATAAGCGTTGTGCACATTTATAGATATTGTCTTCATACGACGCAGTGGAAATCCCCATCCAGAAATAGCCCAACTGGGTTTTGCCAGAAATCCATTCCTCGAGAACTCTATTCAAGCTGAACAATACCAGATGACTGTAATAACCTTTCACACTGAACGCATGTCGGAAATAACTAAACCATGTTTGTGCGGACGTGGCAATCACGTCAATCTAGCTTTATACAAATACCTGAAAATATTTATATGTTTGACGTTTTACATCTTCAAGAGCTTCAAGAGAGACAGTTTATTTCAACAAGCACGGCTTGAGACTGCTTGAGAAAATAAGTAAGACAATTACATGGGATATACTACTGACAACATCTGATGAAGTACAGTGTGACAGAGCTATGTGAAATTATTCCTACATATAACTGCTATTAGTATGAATCCATGTTTTGGAAAAAAAATAGAAATAGACTGTGTGAATATGTCATGGGCATCCTTCCATTTTTCAGACATCCCCATAGTCAGATATGTTACAACAACAAATCTTCTGGTTGAGTGCACAGCTAATCTCCCCCCTACACCCGTTCCCTCTTAGTGAAAAGGAATGGTCCATAAAATGAATAACAGAAATCAGACAAGACGTTTTATATCATATGCATAGTCGACTATGCAGTTAATTTACACAAACTGTTCAACAACTAGTCAGTGGATGCCCTTCTTTGGCACAAACAGCATATTTTAATAGATATTATGGCATGGCTCGTTGCTTCTACTACTGCAACTACTACTACGCCATGACTGTGGCTTTGACTATATATATGTGCAACAATATATATGGGCTGGCACGTGTTGTTGTAGCTGAGAAGGCAGATTAAAAAAATAAACTGAGCCCGAGCTCAACACTGTCAATTCTGAAACCCTGTTAACATATTGAGAATATTAAATTAATGACATCACAGGGACCAAGTATGAAACTAAAGTGGATTAAGTAGAATTGTTTATGCTGAAACAACATTCGCTTATTAATTTCTAAAGTGTATTAGTCTTAAAAAGTGAGTAGACAGTTTAAACACAGTAACAATTTCCCTTAGGTTCAACTGACTGGTTGAAGTAAACTGTTGTAAAGCACTGCTATGGAGAAACACCCAATGGGATATTCCCGTTCATATATTGGTGTTGCCCTATTTAGTCTCCTAGTCCAGTGTCTGACAACTGGGATGTCTAACTAATGGGAGTATGCTGGGTATAATTACACTTCTGTAAAACGTACGTCAGTTGAACTGTTCTATATACTGTTCACTAATCACACTCTGTACAACTAGTACATTGAACTTCCTGAAACGCGACCATGTTGTTTTCAATAATCTCTGTGTGTAAATGTGCTCTTGAAATGAGATATGTGAAGACATACACTGAAACACTGAACTTGAATACACCAAAAATGTGAAGAATGCAAGTATATTGAAACACTGAACTTGAATACACCAAAAATGTGAAGAATGCAAGTATATTGAAACACTGAACTTGAATACACCAAAAATGTGAAGAGTGCATGTATGCTGAAACACTGAACTTGCAGCACATCAAATATGTAAAGAGCGCATGTATGCTGAATTCTTAACTTGCAGCATATCTAATATGTGAAGAGTGCGTGTATACTGAAACACTGAACTTGCAGCACATCTAATATGTGAAGAGTACATGTATGTGAAACACTGAACTTGCAGCACATCAAATATGTGAAGAGCGCATGTATGCTGAAACACTGAACTTGCAGCATATCAAATATGTGAAGAGTGCATGTATGCTGAAACACTGAACTTGCAGCACATCAAATATGTGAAGAGTGCATGTATGCTGAAACACTGAACTTGCAGCACATCAAATATGTGAAGAGTGCATGTATGCTGAAACACTGAACTTGCAGCACATCAAATATGTGAAGAGTGCATGTATGCTGAAACACTGAACTTGCAGCACATCAAATATGTGAAGAGTGCATGTATGTGAAACACTGAACTTTGCAGCACATCAAATATGTGAAGAGTGCATGTATGCTGAAACACTGAACTTTCAGCACATCAAATATGTGAAGAGCGCATGTATGCTGCTGAAACACTGAACTTATGCAGCACATCAAATATGTGAAGAGTGCATGTATGAAACACTGAAACACTGAACTTGCAGCACATCAAATATGTGAAGAGTGCATGTATGCTGAAACACTGAACTTGCACTGAACTTGCAGCACAAACACTGAACAAATCAAATATGTGAAGAGTGCATGTATGCACATCAAATATGTGAAGAGTGCATGTAAAACACTGAACTTGCAGCACATCAAATATGTGAAGAGTGCATGTATGCTGAAACACTGAAGAACTTGCATGTATGAACTTGCAGCACATGAAACACTGAACTTTGCAGCACATCAAATATGTGAAGAGTACATGTATGTGAAACACTGTACTTTCAGCACATCAAATATGTGAAGAGTGCTTGTATGCTGAAACACTGAACTCGCAGCACATCTAATATGTGAAGAGCGCATGTATGTGAAACACTGAACTTGCAGCACATCAAATATGTGAAGAGTGCATGTATGCTGAAACACTGAACTTGCAGCACATCAAATATGTGAAGAGTGCATGTATGCTGAAACACTGAACTTGCAGCACATCAAATATGTGAAGAGTGCATGTATGCTGAAACTTGCAGCACATCAAATATGTGAAGAGTGCATGTATGCTGAAACATGTATGTGAAACACTGAACTTGCAGCACATCAAATATGTGAAGAGTGCATGTATGCTGAAACACTGAACTTGCAGCACATCAAATATGTGATGCTGAGTACTTGCATGTATGCATGAAACACTGAACTTTCAGCACATCAAATATGTGAAGAGTGCATGTATACTGAAACACTGAACTTTCAGCACATCAAATATGTGAAGAGTGCATGTATGCTGAAACACTGAACTTGCAGCACATCAAATATGTGAGGAGCGCATGTATGTGAAACACTGAACTTTCAGCACATCAAATATGTGAAGAGTGCATGTATGCTGAAACATTGAACTTGCAGCAAAGGTATGTGTTTCTTGAATGCTTTTGACATAGTAAAAATCGTGTTTGTATCTATAGACTGCAATGTTTTCTACCTAAATATCGATTTATGACCCTTTCGGGTAGTATTTGCAAGAACCAGACAGCTCAGAGAGTTGGGGTGCAGCACATCAAATATGTGAAGAGTACATGTATACCGAAACACTGAACTAGCAGCACATGTGCATGAAGTCCTACCGCACAAATGAGTTATTTTTTAAAATATTTTGTATATGTCATATTTCCTAAACGTACCATACACGGTATATTTGCATAATATCCAATTTTCACAAACACACACATTTGCAATTTAGCATAAAAAATATTGATTTAACCTTATAATCATTTGTAATAAGCTTTGGGATTTCGCGGTGTTTTGTTATGGCTGGTGTAGGTAGTCTTTTCTGCAACTGCACTTCGAACATCATACCATTTGTCCCCGAACACAAATAATACTGGGTTGATGTGTTCAACTTAGTGTTCAACGAACTGGCTAAGCCGGAATTTGTGGGTTTTTTGGAGTTGAAAGGCCAGGATGTCCCCAACCTGGATAATTTACAACAATATAACGTTACTATAGAAGTCTATAGGAAAACATTTGGTTTTGCGGAACTTCAAACAGGGAGAGTTGGCAGTCATCCAGGGAATTCCCACAGTACTTTCGCTTTGCCCGAATTCATTATTCGTCTTTACACGGTAGGCATGCCGTAAACAAAAGTGTGTAGAGTTGAAGCTTGACGAGAAGTTTCATGTAGATTAAGTAACTGAAGACATTGAAAATGTGAAGATAAGTTTTCATGAAGATTGTCACATATGTACTGATTCAATATCAAGCTATAAATAGAACTGACGTGGGGGTATGTATCTGTTATTACTTGCCATGGCCTGGCTATGAATACTTATTCCCTTCAATTAGTGTGTGACTACAATCATCTGTATGTGTGTCAGGAGGGTTAGGCAGCATCTCAGACCACCTTCAGACACCAAGTTCGCCGCATGAGGGACATACAGGTCACTTGAGGTGGTATCTATCCCTAACCACAAGGTATGGCTACTACTTCCTGGTTGAGTATTTACTATGTCATTCAACCATTCATGAAACCATTACATGCTAAACCAATATTCTACGTTCATGCGTTGTTATCGAATGTCATAATCAGGTAAAAAAATAATAATGTGTAAAATATGCCAAGCTAATGTGGGAAGGTACGACGAATCACCTACTCCGCTCGTGATGGGATATTTCATGTTCTACATGTCCCAGTGTGTTCTGACCTGATCCTGTCGAGTTTTAGATAACATGCAAAGAAACCTAAAGCAAGTTTATGCAGCCTTTTAAGCTGTTCAAACAATATACCTTCCAACGTAAGACTGGAGAAACCTAGTCACGCCATGAGGTGTTTAGAGTTACGTCCCTTAGCTGTTACTGTTTATGGCTCCCCTCCTACACTGAGACTTTAATTTCAATATCTGTGACAGGGCTGCTTGAAAACCGTCCATCAGCTTAGTACATTCACTGACTTTCAGTGTCGGCTGTCACAGTCTAACGAATAATAATGATGTCAAATATATTGTGTTGTCATATTTTGTCTGCCTCCCACTGAAGCCATGGCAGAGGGACACGAGCCGGGTGTTCAAGGTTTCAAGAAATCAACTTCTCAACACAAGAAAAGAACGTACAACATAATCATCACTGCAGAATTCTGGAATACCCTGGGTGAAGGAGGTTAGGTGATATTTGATTAGCGAACATTAATATATCATTCAATAGCATATATACTCACCAGCAAAAGAAGCGTAATACAAGAACTCAAAACAATTTTGTTAAAGTATCAAATCTAAACTCATGCTGAAAAAGTATGAATTCTGAGTTGCGTATTTATTGCTGCTCAGTATGCTTCCCATTAAGACTGATGAGTCGATATACGGCTCATGGTATACTACTACAACTACTACTACTACTACTTCTTCTTCTACCACAACTACTGCTGCTGCTGCTACTACTACTACTACTACTACTACTACTACTACTACTACTACTACTACTACTACTACTACTACTACTACTCTTCTACTTCTACTACCACTACCCCTATTACTACTTCTTCTACTACTACAAAACCCGTGAAGGTCCGGGTTAGAATGTGCCTTCAGTAACCCATGCTTGTCGTAAGAGGCGACTAAGGGGATTGGGTGGTCAGGCTCGCTGTCTTGGCTGGCACATGTCATCGGTTCCTAATTGCGCAGATCGATGCTCATGCTGTTGATCACTGGATTGTCTGGTCCAGACTAGAATATTTACAGACCGCCGCCATATATCTGGAATACTGCTGAGTGCGGCATAAAACTAAACTCACTCATTCACTCACTACTACTACACAACTGTTAATGATAATATTAATGAGAAGAATAAATTATTGCTCTGATGTGATTTAAATTTAGTTTGTCGAGATGAAATTACAACCATTATAAGTTTACTCTCATCACATAAGGGGCTGAGGGGTTGCCTTATGGTTAGAGCGTTCGCTTGTCACGTCGAAGGCACGGCTTCGATTTCCCACATGGGTACAATGTGTGAAGCCCTTTTCTGGTGTCCCCCGCCGTAATGTTGCTGGAATATTGCTAAAAGCGGCGTAAAACAAAACTCACTAACTCACCCATCACATAATGTGTAGAGATGTTCTATCCAGAGTACTGTGTATAATAAGATGATTGTTCCTAACCTCTAGCACAACTTATGTTCTTTACAGACTCTGACCGTGATGCGCCGGTACTACGTATCGAGAGGAAAGGTGTAGAGGACGGACACAGGCTGCATGCTGCAGTCATTACACGGTGGACACTTCACACAACTGGGAACACCATCGACATCTTGATGCAGATTGGAAGTGAAGCCTTTACTCGGTTGCATCATTTCGTTGACGACCTGGAAAATGAATATGGCGCAGAACTACTTCATATCACGAGTGGTCTGACGTTTGTATTCAGACACAGACAGGTTACATCTGAGAACAAGATGGTTGCAGACAAAGACAGCGTGATGCACCGATTCCAAAGTCTTCTCCATGGTTTGGGAGTCAAGTCTTTTCATGTGTCGTTTGATGGGTTTGTAAATTGCGTTGGTTAATTCTGACCGATTCCATCTACATCATGTATTGTTTTGTGGTGTTATGTATAACCGAACAACAGTTTTCCAAAGAATTAGACATGAATTTGTCTTTAATTTTAACACATCATGGTCAATAGAGTTTGAGTCATTATTTCGAAGCCGTTACTGATTTTCACTTCAGACATGGCGAAACTGGTCGAGAAGGGAACAGTGATTCAGCAATGTCTGCTTCAGGTATGTTATCCTTGTTGCTTTACCCCACTTTCCGGGTAAATGAACCATGAGAAATATGTTTATTCTTGCTTTTGTTTATATTTTGGAATGTCAACAGAAGATCAGCTGGAGCTACTTGAAAAACGGCTGGAGGAACGTATGTTGTGCCAAACTAAGAATATGGAAAATTTCATCAACAATGTGATCCTGCAAACTCAAACACATATCGGAAAAGAACTTGACAAAATTCGCTCACTCATACACACGAAACGGGATACTACTCCTGGACGACCAGCCCCTCTATCGGAGACGAGCAAAGTGGAACATGAGAACAGTGCAGTTCTAACAGACCAGGGCAATGATCTCACCTGCGGAGGCAAAAGTCCACTGAAACAGTGTAATGAATTTGAAGAACTTGATGGCCATACACAGAAGACTTCCTCCAATTCAGCTTCTGTCAGAGCTGAACTGTAAGTACATGGCAATGTGAAATATACGCGTAACGAAAGTTTCACCGTTAATGTATGTTGTATGTATCCCTTATAGGCATATTATCATCTGTATGTATATGTGTCTTCAGTCCTTCCCACGGTGGCATAGAGGAGATTCCACTCAATGTGTCTCTCATAGAAATGCTATAATCTGTATGTATATGTGTCTTCAGTCCTTCCCACAGTGACATAGAGGAGATTCCAATCAATGTGTCTCTCATAGAAATGCTATAATCTGTATGTATATGTGTCTTCAGTCCTTCCCACGGTGACATAGAGGAGATTCCAATCAATGTGTCTCTCATAGAAATGCTATAATCTGTATGTATATGTGTCTTCAGTCCTTCCCACAGTGGCATAGAGGAGATTCCAATCAATGTGTCTCTCATAGAAATGCTATAATCTGTATGTATATGTGTCTTCAGTCCTTCCCACGGTGACATAGAGGAGATTCCAATCAATGTGTCTCTCATAGAAATGCTATAATCTGTATGTATATGTGTCTTCAGTCCTTCCCACAGTGACATAGAGGAGATTCCAATCAATGTGTCTCTCATAGAAATGCTATAATCTGTATGTATATGTGTCTTCAGTCCTTCCCACGGTGACATAGAGGAGATTCCAATCAATGTGTCTCTCACAGAAATGCTATAATCTGTGTGTATATGTGTCTTCAGTCCTTCCCACGGTGACCTAGAGGAGATTCCACTCAATGTGTCTCTCATAGAAATGCTATAATCTGTATGTATATGTGTCTTCAGTCCTTCCCACAGTGACCTAGAGGAGATTCCACTCAATGTGTCTCTCATAGAAATGCTATAATCTGTATGTATATATTTGTCTTCAGTCCTTCCCACAGTGGCATAGAGGAGATTCCACTCAATGTGTCTCTCATAGAAATGCTATAATCTGTATGTATATGTGTATTCAGTCCTTCCACAGTGACTAGAGGGAGATTCCAATCAATGTGTCTCCTCATAGAAATGCTATAATCTGTATGTATATGTGTCTTCAGTCCTTCCCACAGTGGCATAGAGGAGATTCCACTCAATGTGTCTCTCATAGAAATGCTATAATCTGTATGTATATGTGTCTTCAGTCCTTCCCACAGTGGCATAGAGGAGATTCCACTCAATGTGTCTCTCATAGAAATGTTATAATCTGTATGTATATGTGTCTTCAGTCCTTCCCACGGTGACATAGAGGAGATTCCAATCAATGTGTCTCTCATAGAAATGCTATAATCTGTATGTATATGTGTCTTCAGTCCTTCCCACAGTGGCATAGAGGAGATTCCACTCAATGTGTCTCTCATAGAAATGCTATAATCTGTATGTATATTGTCTTCAGTCCTTCCCACAGTGACATAGAGGAGATTCCAATCAATGTGTCTCTCATAGAAATGCTATAATCTGTATGTATATGTGTCTTCAGTCCTTCCCACGGTGACATAGAGGAGATTCCAATCAATGTGTCTCTCATAGAAATGCTATAATCTGTATGTATAAGTGTCTTCAGTCCTTCCCACGGTGACATAGAGGAGATTCCACTCAATGTGTCTCTCATAGAAATGCTATAATCTGTATGTATATCTGTCTTCAGTCCTTCCCACAGTGACCTAGAGGAGATTCCAATCAATGTGTCTCTCATAGAAATGCTATAATCTGTATGTATATGTGTCTTCAGTCCTTCCCACAGTGACATAGAGGAGATTCCAATCAATGTGTCCCTCAAAGAAATGCTATAATCTGTATGTATATGTGTCTTCAGTCCTTCCCACAGTGGCATAGAGGAGATTCCAATCAATGTGTCCCTCAAAGAAATGCTATAATCTGTATGTATATGTGTCTTCAGTCCTTCCCACAGTGAAATAGAGGAGATTCCAATCAATGTGTCTCTCATAGAAATGCTATAATCTGTATGTATATGTGTCTTCAGTCCTTCCCACAGTGACATAGAGGAGATTCCAATCAATGTGTCTCTCATAGAAATGCTATAATCTGTATGTATATGTGTCTTCAGTCCTTCCCACAGTGGCATAGAGGAGATTCTAATCAATGTGTCCCTCAAAGAAATGCTATAATCTGTATGTATATGTGTCTTCAGTCCTTCCCACAGTGGCATAGAGGAGATTCCAATCAATGTGTCCCTCAAAGAAATGCTATAATCTGTATGTATATGTGTCTTCAGTCCTTCCCACAGTGACATAGAGGAGATTCCAATCAATGTGTCTCTCATAGAAATGCTATAATCTGTATGTATATGTGTCTTCAGTCCTTCCCACAGTGACATAGAGGAGATTCCAATCAATGTGTCTCCTCATAGAAATGCTATAATCTGTATGTATATGTGTCTTCAGTCCTTCCCACAGTGACATAGAGGAGATTCCACTCAATGTGTCTCTCATAGAAATGCTATAATCTGTATGTATATGTGTCTTCAGTCCTTCCCACAGTGACATAGAGGAGATTCCAATCAATGTGTCTCTCATAGAAATGCTATAATCTGTATGTATATGTGTCTTCAGTCCTTCCCACAGTGACATAGAGGAGATTCCAATCAATGTGTCTCTCATAGAAATGCTATAATCTGTATGTATATGTGTCTTCAGTCCTTCCCACAGTGACATAGAGGAGATTCCAATCAATGTGTCTCTCATAGAAATGCTATAATCTGTATGTATATGTGTCTTCAGTCCTTCCCACGGTGACATAGAGGAGATTCCAATCAATGTGTCTCTCACAGAAATGCTATAATCTGTGTGTATATGTGTCTTCAGTCCTTCCCACAGTGACATAGAGGAGATTCCACTCAATGTGTCTCTCATAGAAATGCTATAATCTGTATGTATATGTGTCTTCAGTCCTTCCCACAGTGACATAGAGGAGATTCCAATCAATGTGTCTCATAGAAATGCTATAATCTGTATGTATATATGTGTCTTCAGTCCTTCCCACAGTGGCATAGAGGAGATTCCAATCAATGTGTCTCTCATAGAAATGCTATAATCTGTATGTATATGTGTCTTCAGTCCTTCCCACAGTGACATAGAGGAGATTCCAATCAATGTGTCTCTCATCATAGAAATGCTATAATCTGTATGTATATGTGTCTTCAGTCCTTCCCACAGTGACATAGAGGAGATTCCAATCAATGTGTCTCTCATAGAAATGCTATAATCTGTATGTATATGTGTCTTCAGTCCTTCCCACAGTGACATAGAGGAGATTCCAATCAATGTGTCTCTCATAGAAATGCTATAATCTGTATGTATATGTGTCTTCAGTCCTTCCCACAGTGACATAGAGGAGATTCCAATCAATGTGTCTCTCATAGAAATGCTATAATCTGTATGTATATGTGTCTTCAGTCCTTCCCACAGTGACATAGAGGAGATTCAATCAATGTGTCTCTCTCTCATAGAAATGCTATAATCTGTATGTATATGTGTCTTCAGTCCTTCCCACAGTGACATAGAGGAGATTCCACTCAATGTGTCTCTCATAGAAATGCTATAATCTGTATGTATATGTGTCTTCAGTCCTTCCCACAGTGGCATAGAGGAGATTCCAATCAATGTGTCTCTCATAGAAATGCTATAATCTGTATGTATATGTGTCTTCAGTCCTTCCCACAGTGACATAGAGGAGATTCCAATCAATGTGTCTCTCATAGAAATGCTATAATCTGTATGTATATGTGTCTTCAGTCCTTCCCACGGTGACATAGAGGAGATTCCAATCAATGTGTCTCTCATAGAAATGCTATAATCTGTATGTATATGTGTCTTCAGTCCTTCCCACAGTGACATAGAGGAGATTCCACTCAATGTGTCTCTCATAGAAATGCTATAATCTGTATGTATATGTGTCTTCAGTCCTTCCCACAGTGACCTAGAGGAGATTCCACTCAATGTGTCTCTCATAGAAATGTTATAATCTGTATGTATATATTTGTCTTCAGTCCTTCCCACAGTGGCATAGAGGAGATTCCACTCAATGTGTCTCTCATAGAAATGCTATAATCTGTATGTATATGTGTCTTCAGTCCTTCCCACAGTGACTAGAGGAGATTCCAATCAATGTGTCTCTCATAGAAATGCTATAATCTGTATGTATATGTGTCTTCAGTCCTTCCCACAGTGGCATAGAGGAGATTCCACTCAATGTGTCTCCTCATAGAAATGCTATAATCTGTATGTATATGTGTCTTCAGTCCTTCCCACAGTGGCACAGAGGAGATTCCACTCAATGTGTCTCCTCATAGAAATGCTATAATCTGTATGTATATGTGTCTTCAGTCCTTCCCACGGTGACATAGAGGAGATTCCAATCAATGTGTCTCTCATAGAAATGCTAGAAATGCTTCATAATCTGTACTGTGTATAGTGTATAATCTGTATGTATATTGTCAGTCCTTCCCACAGTGACATAGAGGAGATTCCAATCAATGTGTCTCTTATAGAAATGCTATAATCTGTATGTATATGTGTCTTCAGTCCTTCCCACAGTGACATAGAGGAGATTCCAATCAATGTGTCTCTCATAGAAATGCTATAATCTGTATGTATAATGTGTCTCCTCATAGTCCTTCCCACAGTGTGTCTCTCATAGAAATGCTATAATCTGTATGTATATGCATGACATAGAGGAGATTCCAATCAATGTGTCTCTCATAGAAATGCTATAATCTGTATGTATATGTGTCTTCAGTCCTTCCCACAGTGACATAGAGGAGATTCCAATCAATGTGTCTCTCATAGAAATGCTATAATCTGTATGTATATGTGTCTTCAGTCCTTCCCACAGTGACATAGAGGAGATTCCAGTGTCTTCAGTCCTTCCCACAGTGGCATAGAGGAGATTCCAATCAATGTGTCTCTCATAGAAATGCTATAATCTGTATGTATATGTGTCTTCAGTCCTTCCCACAGTGACATAGAGGAGATTCCAATCAATGTGTCTCTCATAGAAATGCTATAATCTGTATGTATATGTGTCTTCAGTCCTTCCCACAGTGGCATAGAGGAGATTCCAATCAATGTGTCTCTCATAGAAATGCTATAATCTGTATGTATATGTGTCTTCAGTCCTTCCCACAGTGACATAGAGGAGATTCCAATCAATGTGTCTCTCATAGAAATGCTATAATCTGTATGTATATGTGTCTTCAGTCCTTCCCACAGTGACATAGAGGAGATTCCAATCAATGTGTCCTTCAAAGAAATGCTATAATCTGTATGTATATGTGTCTTCAGTCCTTCCCACAGTGACATAGAGGAGATTCCAATCAATGTGTCCCTCATAGAAATGCTATAATCTGTATGTATATGTGTCTTCAGTCCTTCCCACAGTGACATAGAGGAGATTCCAATCAATGTGTCTCTCATAGAAATGCTATAATCTGTATGTATATGTGTCTTCAGTCCTTCCCACAGTGACATAGAGGAGATTCCAATCAATGTGTCTCTCATAGAAATGCTATAATCTGTATGTATATGTGTCTTCAGTCCTTCCCACAGTGGCATAGAGGAGATTCCAATCAATGTGTCTCTCATAGAAATGCTATAATCTGTATGTATATGTGTCTTCAGTCCTTCCCACAGTGACATAGAGGAGATTCCAATCAATGTGTCCCTCATAGAAATGCTATAATCTGTATGTATATGTGTCTTCAGTCCTTCCCACGGTGACATAGAGGAGATTCCAATCAATGTGTCTCTCATAGAAATGCTATAATCTGTATGTATATGTGTCTTCAGTCCTTCCCACAGTGACATAGAGGAGATTCCAATCAATGTGTCTCTCATAGAAATGCTATAATCTGTATGTATATCTGTCTTCAGTCCTTCCCACAGTGACCTAGAGGAGATTCCAATCAATGTGTCTCTCATAGAAATGCTATAATCTGTATGTATATGTGTCTTCAGTCCTTCCCACAGTGACCTAGAGGAGATTCCAATCAATGTGTCTCTCATAGAAATGCTATAATCTGTATGTATATGTGTCTTCAGTCCTTCCCACAGTGGCATAGAGGAGATTCTAATCAATGTGTCCCTCAAAGAAATGCTATAATCTGTATGTATATGTGTGTCTTCAGTCCTTCCCACAGTGGCATAGAGGAGATTCCAATCAATGTGTCTCATAGAAATGCTATAATCTGTATGTATATGTGTCTTCAGTCCTTCCCACAGTGACATAGAGGAGATTCCAATCAATGTGTCTCTCATAGAAATGCTATAATCTGTATGTATATGTGTCTTCAGTCCTTCCCACAGTGACATAGAGGAGATTCCAATCAATGTGTCTCTCATAGAAATGCTATAATCTGTATGTATATGTGTCTTCAGTCCTTCCCACAGTGACATAGAGGAGATTCCAATCAATGTGTCCCTCATAGAAATGCTATAATCTGTATGTATATGTGTCTTCAGTCCTTCCCACAGTGGCATAGAGGAGATTCCAATCAATGTGTCCCTCATAGAAATGCTATAATCTGTATGTATATGTGTCTTCAGTCCTTCCCACAGTGACATAGAGGAGATTCCAATCAATGTGTCTCTCATAGAAATGCTATAATCTGTATGTATATGTGTCTTCAGTCCTTCCCACGGTGACATAGAGGAGATTCCAATCAATGTGTCTCTCATAGAAATGCTATAATCTGTATGTATATGTGTCTTCAGTCCTTCCCACAGTGGCATAGAGGAGATTCCAATCAATGTGTCTCTCATAGAAATGCTATAATCTGTATGTATATGTGTCTTCAGTCCTTCCCACAGTGACATAGAGGAGATTCCAATCAATGTGTCTCTCATAGAAATGCTATAATCTGTATGTATATGTGTCTTCAGTCCTTCCCACAGTGACATAGAGGAGATTCCAATCAATGTGTCTCTCATAGAAATGCTATAATCTGTATGTATATGTGTCTTCAGTCCTTCCCACAGTGACATAGAGGAGATTCCAATCAATGTGTCTCTCATAGAAATGCTATAATCTGTATGTATATGTGTCTTCAGTCCTTCCCACGGTGACATAGAGGAGATTCCAATCAATGTGTCTCTCACAGAAATGCTATAATCTGTGTGTATATGTGTCTTCAGTCCTTCCCACAGTGACCTAGAGGAGATTCCACTCAATGTGTCTCTCATAGAAATGCTATAATCTGTATGTATATGTGTCTTCAGTCCTTCCCACAGTGACCTAGAGGAGATTCCACTCAATGTGTCTCTCATAGAAATGTTATAATCTGTATGTATATATTTGTCTTCAGTCCTTCCCACAGTGGCATAGAGGAGATTCCACTCAATGTGTCTCTCATAGAAATGCTATAATCTGTATGTATATGTGTATTCAGTCCTTCCCACAGTGACTAGAGGAGATTCCAATCAATGCGTCTCTCATAGAAATGCTATAATCTGTATGTATATGTGTCTTCAGTCCTTCCCACAGTGGCATAGAGGAGATTCCACTCAATGTGTCTCTCATAGAAATGCTATAATCTGTATGTATATGTGTCTTCAGTCCTTCCCACAGTGGCACAGAGGAGATTCCACTCAATGTGTCTCTCATAGAAATGCTATAATCTGTATGTATATGTGTCTTCAGTCCTTCCCACGGTGACATAGAGGAGATTCCAATCAATGTGTCTCTCATAGAAATGCTATAATCTGTATGTATATGTGTCTTCAGTCCTTCCCACAGTGGCATAGAGGAGATTCCACTCAATGTGTCTCTCATAGAAATGCTATAATCTGTATGTATATTGTCTTCAGTCCTTCCCACAGTGACATAGAGGAGATTCCAATCAATGTGTCTCTCATAGAAATGCTATAATCTGTACGTATATGTGTCTTCAGTCCTTCCCACGGTGACATAGAGGAGATTCCAATCAATGTGTCTCTCATGGAAATGCTATAATCTGTATGTATAAGTGTCTTCAGTCCTTCCCACGGTGACATAGAGGAGATTCCATGTATATCTCAATGTGTCTCAATGTGTCTCTCATAGAAATGCTATAATCTGTATGTATATCTGTCTTCAGTCCTTCCCACAGTGACCTAGAGGAGATTCCAATCAATGTGTCTCTCATAGAAATGCTATAATCTGTATGTATATGTGTCTTCAGTCCTTCCCACAGTGACATAGAGGAGATTCCAATCAATGTGTCTCTCATAGAAATGCTATAATCTGTATGTATATGTGTCTTCAGTCCTTCCCACAGTGGCATAGAGGAGATTCTAATCAATGTGTCCCTCAAAGAAATGCTATAATCTGTATGTATATGTGTCTTCAGTCCTTCCCACAGTGACATAGAGGAGATTCCAATCAATGTGTCTCCTCATAGAAATGCTATAATCTGTATGTATATGTGTCTTCAGTCCTTCCCACAGTGACATAGAGGAGATTCCAATCAATGTGTCTCTCATAGAAATGCTATAATCTGTATGTATATGTGTCTTCAGTCCTTCCCACAGTGACATAGAGGAGATTCCAATCAATGTGTCTCTCATAGAAATGCTATAATCTGTATGTATATGTGTCTTCAGTCCTTCCCACAGTGACATAGAGGAGATTCCAATCAATGTGTCCCTCAAGGAAATGCTATAATCTGTATGTATATGTGTCTTCAGTCCTTCCCACAGTGACCTAGAGGAGATTCCAATCAATGTGTCTCTCATAGAAATGCTATAATCTGTATGTATGTGTGTCTTCAGTCCTTCCCACAATGACAAAAAGGAGACTGCAAACAGTGGAAGGCAGGGGCCGCCTGCTGACGTTACATCTACATCCAGTAAAGGGCCTTCAGTTGATGGTACTTCGAAGAAATTCAGGCGTTCCAATACCACTGCAAAAAGGTGAAATATTGACGACTGGGCTCATATTGCCCTCTATCATAACAAACTTTACGGAATGCATACCCTGATAAAAGTGAGTAAGGTAACAGGCATCGACGTACTGGCAGTCATACTTGTAGTCGTGTATTATGTAGGAAAGCAGCAAGGCGATCGGCCGGATGAATACTGTTATCAGGAAAGTTAGGATCAATGCCACTGAAAAAATGTGATGTTCGGCGAATTTACGCCTTTCTTCTTTGCGACATATACGTTCCGAATGCCATTTCGTGAACAGTACTTAACAACATAATCACAACACCATAGAACATTATATTTTTCGTTTTTGCAAGCTTTTTCTAGAACGATCTAATAGTTGTATTTATTTCGACAAAATACAAAGGTTCACGTTCAGTTCCATTATCCTTTGATCCTTAAACGAAGAAAGGGTGCAGTTTCTCTCCGAGAATTATGGTTCAAACATCAATGCATCATTGACACCAACTAGGTCCACTGAATAGAAAACTATTTATGTAACACAGCTGCGTAAAATAAACAATGCCAATATTTAGATGTACTATGATGTATTATGACTGGACATATTTTAATATTCTTTCTGTTCCAGATCCCAGAGCTTCCAACACCCTCCATCACGAAGTGAATTGATTCACAGTAAGAAGTTTCTTTTTTCTAAACATCTGTAAAGTGTTGAGAATTCAATTATTTTTTAAATTCATGTGTTGACACAACGAACAAAATTCTCAGCTGCATGCAGATCGTGTACTGTAAGTTGTGTATAAAATAGTTATCATAATTCGATGATGCAGAGAATCTACATCAGGCTCGGGAAGTATTAACTGCCTTGAATATCAATCTTGACGGATGGAGAGAGTTAACGGAGTCTACAGCCCTGGCCTTAGAACCTGGTAGGTAGCAACACCTGGACAACTGATATTATTGTTTCATGTAGTTTACCATGTGTCACATTAAACTAATATATGTTGTGGAATCTCACATTGATACTTATTTTGAAGTCCTGGATTATACCAGTTGTCCAGCACAAATAATGTAACCAAATTTACTGTAACAATAAAATTATAAAGGTAAAAATGTATGAACTTCTGTAAGATGATCAACACGACATTTCGGTTCAGGTGATGAAGGATTTGTTCATATTACAGAAGTTGACATCCATACATTTTCACCTTTTAGATGTATCACTTCTGAATGTCATTCAAAGTTCATTAAAAGATAAACCTATAATAAATATATTTGAGATTTTAATTACACATAATCTATGCCAGACATTTTATTCTCAACATTCAGCAAACCCTCAAGCACCAAGATCTACATCAGCATCAACTGTTTTGTGTCTAGATGTCTCTGGAAGTATAGTCGACCACGGTTTAAAGGAACTGAAAGAAACTGCACACAGTTTTATTGACGGTATCGAAAATCTTTATATTACCCTTTGTATTATACAGATGTTGGCGATCTATAGCCCGTGTTTTATACTGTATTGTCTTCTTTCATTGGAATGTTTTAACTTTGCTCGCTAGTTTTATATTCACATCTGTGGTTCTCTAGTATTTTTACTGTCCATCTTCGACAGCTTTAATCCTCCGAATGTTTTCACTTTTTATTGTATAAATTGTTTTCATCACGATATGGCTGAGATATTGCCGATGTGACGTTAAATATTTACTCACTCACTCATTGTGTTACACAGATATTTATACAGGTATGTAACAAAGATGGAGTCTAGATTTTTAAAAACAAACAAACATCATGAGTGAGTGAGTTAAAATTTATCGTCACATCGACAATTTTTAGAAATGATCACATATGCAGTATATTTCAAGTATTGGTTCATATGCTGAATAGCATGATAGTAATATGTTTGTATTACCAATATACTTCATTGCAGGTATCGAGTCAATGGCAGAACGGTATGGGTTGGAGGAGAACATTGGGGTGGTGAGAGTTGGGGGAGAAGCAGCAGTGGCTCAAGACATAACAAATGACTATGGGGCTGTCAGAGATGCAATAGGTACAGATGAAACGCTTATAGTTGTAATAACGACCGATGGAGTCAACTCAGTGGTGAATATTTAAATCCCAAGAATAATGACCATGTAGGCATGACATGTATGTGTAGAGTCACTTATTTCATGCTAACATGCTAAATCCTATTGTCCATTGACACGCAGCTTGAACGACTATATATGTCATCCTTGATTCTTGTGTATTCGTCTGTGACGCACAACGCACATTGTGACGCACAACGCACATTTCCAGTTGAAATGCAATATTTAGAACCCAATCAACTGTAAACTAAGGTAGCTGTGACAGACTTACCGCTTTAATATTCTTCATGAAGTTTATGTTCTGGTTCCAAACCAAAGAACAGAAGTATCATATTGAGTGTAAGCTGTACAGATATTTTCATGTATTACATGAAGTCACATGAAAGCGTACCTTTTGTTACCATTATTGCAACTTAAGTCCAATCATTTGAGACCTATTCCTTGTTAAACCAATATGGGATGGATGACTAGTTATGTTGAATGGCTTCTACTCGAATGTTGAATATCTAATATAAAATAGCATAGTTTACTACTCAAGAATCAATGTGCCTTCAAATTACAAAATGTAAATGAACAATAATTATTGGGGTTTTCATAATTTGTCTGTTTTCTCATCTTTGGTCAGATAACCTGGTTCCCGGAGGTCCGAGCCCGTTGTTTGCAGGCCTAGTTGTTTCTGTAGCATCGATCAAAGGAAGAAGTAATATTTGTTTGCCTTTTCAGTCTGACTTTATACATGATGTACTTTTCGTAGCAGAATAGCTTTCGGAATCCATACCACAGTTCACGACTCAAATACATTCTGTCATGGTACAGCTGTAAAACATATACCAGGTGTTTCATGATTAATTTGTTCTTGTCATAATTATACAAAAGAGCGTTAGTGTTGGTACGAACAATAAAGGTTAAAAGGTGCATGTTTTGGACGTGGGCATCCTGCTTATCCAGCACGGTGCAAGTTGTTATGAAGCCATGTACTATGTGTGTTTTGCGTTTGCAATAAGGTTTGGCACTATATATATACACCTCGTGAGAACCTGGCCTGATCAAACTAAGCATTTATTGAAAATGTTGAGATGGCGCTGAAAATACGCTTCATACTTACATAAAGCTGGCACTTATTGAAACGATTTTGTCAATACATTATCACAAACACGTTTTCATGTGCAATTTTGCATCAGTAGAACTTCTGGCATTATTAGTGTGTTATCACTTATTTTGTGTAAATCTGTTTTACCAGCTGGTATTTTAAGCATGGGAGGAGTTCACAACATAAAGCCCAGAATCATCTTCATGACGGATGGATACGCATCATCCGACGCACAAAGGGAAGGCCAGGATGCTTTTACTCATGATTCTACTGTAAGAATACATGATTATTACAAAGCGTGAAGTGTAAAAACAGATTCGTTTTATATAAATGATTTATAAATGTATTTAATGTTTTCCATTTTAACCATTCCATTTGTATACTGGTATCTTTTGTGTTATTGTTCAACTCGATCCCTTCTGTGCAAATGTTACCTTCTACAGTTACAGCTTCAGCTAATACAGCTTACAACTGTAATGGCAAGAGAGAATGCAGACACGCATCCAGTAACATGGGTGTCGGTGGGAAAAGCTGACAGGGTACTGAATCTATGACTTTGTAATTATTGGTATCTGGGTGTTCCTGATAGACTTTATCTCCCGTTATTTTTTAATTTGGTGATGTACATACTTACCAAATTACATATAAGATTTAATATGTACTTTTTTAAAATGGGATTCGAGCATCATCATATGATTAGTATAAACGTAAGCACCATAAAACAGTGATTGCCATGGTAATCATGGCCATGGCTTTCATTTTGGACGCATCGTTTACAGTTTCAGAGGTCAAAATATAATTTTCGTCGTTGATAAACATCTTTTCGGTATACTTTATTTATACATTTGAAACTGCTAGGTCATTATCTGCTAAATGTTGAATATGCTTAGCTCATTATGCCATACATCCAGGATTCAAATTTGCCTCTTTCTACAATAATAGAATTCATTCAATTATTTGGAGCAATCTACGAAAAATAGTTCTGAATCATGTTTCCGAAATCCCCCAAGTCGTGTAAAAAATTATTAGCGTGTATTTTCTTCTTTTTTTTTCATTTGACCTAAATCATTTTCATTACTTCAAACAAACTAAAGTGTGGAATACGTTTTTCTTCAGAATTTTCTTTCATCTTTGGCACAACTTGGAAAGCAAGAACTCGTTGAGGGGAAAGATATACGCAGACTTTGCAACTGGTACAGACTGCAGGTGAGCTGTATGTAAACAGATTTGATACTTTAAAGTGTTTCCTATGTTGGTACATCTATAACATGGCATAGGTTTTGTGATTTATATTAAATCACAAAATGTTATTTAAGGACACAACTGGAAAACTCTTCATTTGCTGTGCAAGCAACCCTACTGCTGACCCGGACGACTTGACTCGCAATTTAGGTACCGCAGCCGAGGCACTCATTGGGGACATGACTAACGAAGATAAGGTAAACGTTGCAAAAGGGATCAAGGGACATTCATGTATCAGATTCTTGCAATTTTAATGTTTAGGAACACACTATTTATATAAAATATTGAGCATATGACATATTTCTTTCGAAATATTTGAGATGTGACAACTGTAGGCATTATAAGGATTTACTTCTTAGTATAAATTTTCTTAACACACACACACACACACGCGCGCGCGCGCGCGCATACACAACATTCGTGGGTTGTTTCAGGCATTCGTTATTCAAGCTGTAAAAGACAAGGTGTCAGGAAAGTCTAGAACTTCTCCCGATGATGAACCCAGAGGTTTTGACAGTGTGTTTGAACGCGATGGGTTACCTCCCCTTGGATCCAGAGTCCAACGAGGCCCTGATTGGAGCGGGGGAAATAAAGATGTTGAAGGACCCGGGACCATTATCAACCATTCGAATAAACATCCTCGTATGTACATGTATATTTATCTACAAGTTTTGTTTCATGTGAATATCTGTGGACAGTATTTCTCAAACTTTGTCGTTTTTCGAAATATCAGTGTTTTATATCATTATGTAAATTGAAGTAACAGTTCGGAAGATAATCATATGTGCCTATGGTTGTATACGCAGAGCTGGTGTGGGTGAGTTGGGACCTCAACAGCGACTGCAACATTCAGTACAGCTACGGGTTAGCAGGGGAGTATGAAGTACTGCTAATCGACTGCCCAAGACGTCTTTTGGAAACAGAGCTGATTGAGATAGGCGTTAAAGTCCAAAGAGGTTTGTTTTATCATCATGATTCCTTACATACGAATGAGACGGACCCATGTTAGGTATACTTAAGGGAGTGGTTGTGTGAGTTAAAGTCGCTGAGAACAGTATTGGGCATTCAGTTTTTTAGGTATATCACGGCAGCTGAATGTGGGAGGATATCCCGAACTGTAACACGTGTCGGATGTGTGTCACTTGGTGAAACCAACGGGAACGGCATTGGCACGTTGACCACTTACTAGAAACGGCATGACTGGCCTCTTTTGCCTCCCTCACACATGTACTCTCTTTTCTCTGCTTGATTCACCTTCCTGATTGTCAGCCCGCCTGTTATAAAGTTAGTCGAGGGGAAACTGCTACTCTCCTACCAAAGCCACTCTCTCCCTTTTTATGTGACTTCGTCAATTCATTGTGTACAGGTATTGACTGGTCGTATGGAACCCAAGATGGGGGACATGGTTCGCATGGAACTGTAATACGAACGCGTGCAGATGGGAGAGTGAGAGTAAGTATTATGTACTACTCTTTGGTTCTGTCGCTATCACCAATAACTGTTTGCATGAGAGATCATGTTTGATAATATGTTGACACATTCATTTACTTTCAGGTAAGATGGGACAATGGTCATATCAATGTGTACAACTTTGGATGCCATGGCAGATTTGACCTGGAAATCTGGTAACGATGAATAAAAAACAAACAGATATAAGCTGTGTATATGGAAGGTTTGGTTAGGAAATCATTATGAGTCGAAATGATTGCTTTGGAAAGAGATGATGTCGAACTGTGAAAACCACACACGCCTTGTTGTCATTGACTTACCATGTGTTCATATAATTTCAATTGTATGCTTTTCTGGAGTAAGTTTATGTTATCCGTTTTTGTAGTTCCGTGGAAGAGGATGTTTCTGTACCAAAAGAGTCACATGGCGATAGTCCAACCCAACGCAAGGGTAAGTTAAATTATACATTCGTTAAAACCTTTTAAAATGAGAAATGGTGAGTCTGTTATTGAGTTCCAATGTTCTTGTGCGACTGTTCCAGAAAACGAGGAAAGCCACGCAGCTCTACAGACAAAGGCCAAACCACACATTGTCTGGCAGTGGAAGGATGAAGGCGGAAACTGGAGACTGTATTCAAAGAAGCAGATAGAGAAACTGAACAAAGAATACAGTAGAAAATGTGCTCGGTCTTGCGTTTTACAGAAAGGAGGTCAGAGGTAACGTTTGCCACGGATAGATAAAGCATTGCAGGGGATAATGAAATGTCACATAACAGTATAACAATAAGTTTTGTAAAGAAAATGTTCCAATTCGAAAGGGAAGAACGTTACATTTTGATGTAGTCATTTCATATGACACAGTGGACATAAATGATGCACTTAAAATGTGAAAACTCACAATTTACATTTCTATTTGACAGTATCCGTGTCTTGTTCAAGGAGCCAATGCTTGAGAAGTCGTCCAATGATAGCAATAGGCACGAAGTGCAAAGAGTCGGTGAGGATCAGAATAAATCTAACTTGTCACAGCAAAATAACAATATTGCATTCTCCGAACCGCTATGCATGTGATCGTTACGTGCCTATTTCCTTTTCCATTTAAGTATTTATGGCTATTGTATATTTGCAGCTGTAAGTTCCGAGGACTTGGACCAACTGATTCAGCAGACAACATCTGTTGAAGACGTGGGCTGGACATGGGAATGAATCGGATTGTACACATTAAAGGACGTGGCAATTGTTTTGTGCCCAAAAACTGTCACTAAGTTTGCTGGAAATGCTGGGATCCTGCTTCAGCCTGCTTGAATATGTTCCTTCAGTTAACTTAGCACTTCGTCCTCATTGCCTGATGTACAACTCAACAAATCAAATTCCATTCCTGTACCTTCCGTGGCTCATTTGCTTTCTTGCTGTCATATTGTACCAAGTAAAGTGTTTATAAATAGAATACATTGACACGTAAGCTGGTTCGCATAAGCAATATCTGAATTCTGTCTCTGACAGAGATGTAGTCGTGACAATAGAGCAGTTGCTAGCGGAAACTCGAGATGTGAAAACTATGAGAACAACAGGCGGTAAAACTCGTAATTTTGTAAGATAAATTGATACAAATGGAGATTGCTTCCACCAGTTCATAATTCTCAACCATCTTTAAGAGAATGTTAACAAGCTGTATATTATGAAGAAATAATAAATGCATCCTGGTATAAATATGTGTTGACGTTTTTTTCCAATTTATTTGCACACTTTACCAGTAGTTTCTGAATTTCGGATTTCGGAGTGACAAGCGAATGATTTAATCCATAGTCAAGTCAAAATCAAAAGGAGTTTATTTGTAAGGAGGCCAAGGGCCCATATACAAGATATAACTATACATAGTTAACAAGAGCATACAAATGAAGTCTAAAGTGTTTCTAAAAACCTATTTCATTTTATATATGCGTGGTAAATGTAATACTGTACAAGTCTGATTAAATTCTCCTGAGTTGTACATAACGGCCTTTTAAATTTATGGATAGAAGGGAATTTCCAAAAGTGTTCCGAAAGAAAAGTTATTCTCAATCATTGTACAAGTGGCATATAAGTGTGAAATGATACTCATCCTCTACAGAGGTGTTGCAAATTGGACACAGACGTAAACCAGGTTCGATTGATTGCCGCCTACCTTCATTATAACGTAGTGGCAAGACATTGCATCTAAATTTAGTGTTAGTAGAGCGCACCTTTCTTTCTAATATGATAAACAGGTATCTTTCTGGTTCAAATATGAATTTATATTTCCCTATACATCACATATCTAGAGCTGTTATTCAAAGTGGAAGTCAAACTTTGAGAAAATTCATTTTTCAATCATGTTTTAAACAATTGTACAAAAGAAAGTTCATCACCAACAGATTGGTTAATCCAGATATATCCAAAGCCATGAGAAAACAAAATATTTTTTTATGAACGATTCCCAACTCTTTTTTCCAATGTCATCAAAATATCTTAACATGTAATACACTTTCGAGGGTAATCTACACTCCCTCATTTTGAGCAATTTTAGCCAATAACGTAAAAGCCGTAATTAAGCATTTATATATATT